TATGCTACTGGTCAATTATCATGACCCTAGTCATCTTGGCTATTGAAAAGTCATTAAGAGAAAAATGTTGATGCAAGACAAAGAAAGCTTCCTGGAAGTCAATGCTTTATGCTGCACCATGGTTTAATTGGTTTAATTTTGTTTAACGTCCTATTAACAGCTAAGGTCATTTAAGGACGTCTGCACCATGGCATAATGGTTTGGATCTCTATACACACACAGTGACAAACACATTCTGTCATATATAACTCATCTTCATTTTCACATACAGTTCAAATCTAAAGCTGTTCAAAATAAAACACCAAAAAAGGTTTGGATCAAATTGAATATTTTATTTCCTTTTTTGTTTCCATGACAACATATTTATCAGTATATTTTTTTCATTTACACATTATTCTATGAAGAAGCATTTCTGCTGTCAATATGTTATCACTGGAAGGGATGGGTGAGTTACACAGAGTTCCCTTCACCAGTAGTACTGTTATAATCTAAATCTCCTACACTTCAATAGCGTAACCAAAAGCTAAACATAAGCAAATTGTCCACATGTAAAATATTTGACGACAATGGGCGTTGGCAGAGAAAAGCTGTGAAAGAACCTACATGATATACAGTGAAACCTCTGTAATCCAGACTCAATCCAGGAACTTATGTCATAGTAATTGATGACTTTATAAGCACCACTTCCAAGCATAAATAACATCTCATTCTAAAGAAAGTCTATAGGTCGAATAAACCTTTACCAGGTACAGTAATTGTAGGTATAAACAATTCAGCACAGACGTTTGTGGCTACAAGTTTAAACCATACACAGGAACAACAGTGTACAGACTTGTCACTGAGGTTCCACTGTAGCAGATTAAGGCTCTAACTGGCCTGTTATGGCAGTGTTATGATTCATACAGCTCTCTAAGGTAAAAACCAAGGGTATAATTTGGTCGGATATAGGTGAATCAGTAAAGACAGAGAAATATGTATCATTGCAACATTCGCTCGTTTTAGATAAGTCTGTCGGGTTTCACTGTATTACAGCGTCTAAAAGGTAAACAGTGAGAATTATATACGAAACAATTTTCATGAACTTGTACTGGTTTTACATGATTCATTTTCTGATAATATGGGGGAATGCACAAAAAACATCGGCTACACCAGAGTGGCTATATCAAAGTATTGCACACATTAGTTATAACATAAACAGTGAATACGGAAACTTTGGTCAAAATAGTGCCACAACAGAATTAAATGTTACTTCTTTCCCTGTAATCAGGATATAATGGCATCCTTCCCACAAACGGTATAACCAATGTAGTCTCAGTATACCAGTCACCACTAATCCAGGTTTCTCTTCCTCACACAACAGACTTTTTGTCCCTCACAAGATAGGTTTATGGTCAAACACTTCCCCATAAAAGTCCAGGTGATCGAGACACCAGAGGTTAATGTCAACACCTTTCCCCAGCTAATTTGTAAAACCAGAAAAGGCTTTGTCAGGACAACTCCATACATTTAGCTGACAATTATGTCCTGAAACTTTTAATCAGTTTACACACAACAGTGACTACCAAATAGTTCATCTGCAATATGAACAGCTTCTTTCCTTCAATTTCACATATGAAACAGAAAGGCTTTATCTAAATAAAACGTCTGTCAGTTTTCTCTAAATATGTCCGATAGGTGTACTGTAAGTTAACTAGCATTGACAATATACTATATACGGAAGAACACTAGAATGGTACACTAAGTGTCCTGATAACTAGCAGGACAAGTCTCACATGGCCATTAAGATGAGTTTTGCATTTGGGGAAGCTTGTCAAGTAAATGCAATGATAAAGGGGTTTCATACTACACATACATATCTCATTAAGTAATGTAAACTTCAAAAAATAGAAAAAAATACCACAGAAAGCATGCATGCACACATACACCAGGACATTAGCAGGTTACCTCTCCTAGCCAGCACATTATGAGATTATCTCCCATACATAGGACACTATTTAGGATATGTTCAGACTCGATAAACATACTGCAACTTGTGAAAAATATTCTGTTGATCCTTGACTCGCATAGACCCTGGTAGGGAGGGATCTCATTGAATGACCCCTGATCACTTTCGACTGTTAATTTTTCAATGTCACATGTGTGCAGTTGTTTTTTTATACAAATGACATCAAAATTGAAAAAGTATGACCTGACAATTTGCTGCAATCACAAATATGGCAAAAATGTTACTATACCAACAGAGAGCAGCACAATCAGTACCAGCACAAAGGATCAGCTGGTTAACACATACAGTGGTGATAGTCATGGCAGCTGAATAATTACTGAAAATACCTTGTAGAACCCCAAGTGGGAGACAATCTGGTAAGGGGAGGTAATCTGTTAACGACCAATTTGTTAAATAACATTAATTCTATTCTACAAATTATTAAATCTAATTAGTGGTTTAATAAATCAAATATTTGTTTCTAAATTTTTGCTTAGATATGATCCTGTTTAGGACTTTTTGTATTAGGTAAAAAGAACGGATTATTCACAGTTGTTTGAATAAGAAATCGGAATATTAATGACAATTTTAAAATTTAAACCTAAAATTTCAGTTTTCTCCTGACTGTTACATGACAACATTTCCTGCCATTATGTTCAGACATTTTGTAAACCTAGCTCCGTAGTTCTACTATACCAGTAAGTCATGAAACAATATCTGATATATATATATATATATATGCACTTTGACCTCGGGCAGTAAAAACATCAGCACCTTATCCATATTTATGACAATACTATAACGTTTAGATGACTAGCTTATAGAGGTACATTTTATACCTAACAGGCTTACCTGACATTTAGTGGTTAATGATTTAACATTATTTTGTGTTGGTTCTAATTGATTTAAGGCAAGAAATTAGAGCCATTCAATGTTAAAATAAAAACAACCTTACTATATATATGTTACCCTAAAAATGAACACAAGTTTTAAGATGAGAAACATGTTTTTTAATAGTTCTTGTTTTAAGTGGCTCTTAACAATAGATGAAAAAGTTCTGATAAAATTAAGTGATTCTGGTCTTTGCTCATAATAAAAGCATTCCTGCTCGTTAAATTTGTCTAGCCATCCTTGACATACAATAATTATGTATGTATTATACATTATGCATGGCAAATAGGAAAACCATTTTCTACAAAACCTTCAATCTAGTAAGTACAAGAGGCCCATTGGGCCTGCATCGCTCACCTGGTATAAAACTCACACTTGTAACCTTAAAAGTGATCTAAAATAAAGCTACAGGCAAAATATCAGTATCTATGATTAAAATTCATTCAAAAGACCATTATTTTTTTTTAACATTTCACCCCTGTGATTGAAAGTCGAACAAGGTCATTATGTTGAACACATTGTATATCCTTTCATCTAAGGATGCAACTTGCAAAGTATAAACATCCTGGGACCCATGGTTATTCAGAAGAGGTTGTTTAAAGATTTTAAACAAATTTGACCCCTGTGACCTTGAATATAAGTAAAAGTCATTCACTTTAAAAAACAAAGTAGTCTTTGATCCCAGCATATGCTACTGACTAAATATCAACACCCTGAGCCTTTTGGTTATTCAGAACAAGTTGTTGAAATATTTTGAACATATTTGCTCCTTGTGACCTTGAATATGATTCAAGGTCATACATTTATACAAACTTGGTAGCCCTTGATCCTAGTATGCTACTGACTAAATATCATCACCCTGGG